AAGAAATTTGCAAGTACCTGGAACTGCATTTGGTATCTTTTTCCCCCATTTGGCAAACCCCAAAATACCATCCCAGAGTGTGCTGGATTTGAGCCCAGTTTTAGCCCTGGCTCAGTAACTGTCCCGATATGAGGTCTTTTCACAGAACTGAATTTGATCATTACCAGGTCCTCTGTTATTCTGAATATTTTACTTGGTGGAACTATGCTGTGGAGTCATTCCAACTCGTGTGTGTGTTAAGGTTTAATGGGATTTTGCAATCCCCAAAGCCTGAGTTAAATTAAATTTTAAAATCCAGGCAGCGGCATCTCCCTAGACTCCTTTGAATCCATCCATCGAACACCTCACAGACAGGTGTACAAGGAGAACCTCCCTCCAGGGCACTCCATAGCCCGCCCATTCATTAGGTATGCGACCTTGCCTCATCTTTCTCATTGGGAAAAGAGGGATAAAAGGCAGCATCTATCTCTCGGGTTGATGGGTGCAGCAAACCGCCATGGCACATGTATACCTATGTAACAAACCTGCACCTTCTGCACATGTATCCCAGGACTTAAGTATAACAATAATAAAAAACACCTTTTAGAAAATGTAGGACATTCTGGATTTTACATTTATTTATTTTCTTAGTAATTATTTAATCTTCCATTAACGTCCTGATAACCAAAGGAAAATTTCTTACTGAGATCACAGAAATGGCTGAACCCACCAAATCTTCATTTGAAAGTTCTCTGTTTTGTCCATGTGGAATTTGCCCTGACTGAATACACTACCTCGAAATTCCTTATAGAACTCTTTTTTTTTTTTGAGACGGAGTTTCGCTCTTGTTACCCAGGCTGGAGTGCAATGGCGCGATCTCGGCTCACCGCAACCTCCGCCTCCTGGGTTCAGGCAATTCTCCTGCCTCAGCCTCCTGAATAGCTGAGATTACAGGCACGCACCACCACGCCCAGCTAATTTTTTGTATTTTTAGTAGAGACGGGGTTTCACCATGTTGACCAGTATGGTCTCGATCTCTTGACCTCGTGATCCACCCGCCTTGGCCTCTCAAAGTGCTGAGATTACAGGCGTGAGCGACCGCGCCCGGCCAGAACTCTTATTCTAACTAATCCTCACACTTCAGGACTTCAGACGAGTCCCTGACATATTACCCAGGTAAGAGGTGGAACTTAATCTGTGATTTCAGAAAAACGTCTGTCGACTTGCTTTCTGTGGCCCTACATTAATCAGCTGGTATGTACCTCAAACTCTTCTGCTTCTTGTTAATTAAATTTTTAGAATAAGGGGGAATTGTAGGTATAGTATTATTTGATTTACTTGAAGGTATAATGCATTTTGGCCTCCAAGTTAATTACTATCAATAAATTTACACAAAATTCACTCTCAAAAACAAAAATAAAGCACTGTCCGTCTCAAAAGGCATGAAGATTCAGTTACACAGTTCACACGGAGCACTCAGCGACAAGCCTACACATCTATTACTGTAAATGAGCAGTCCTAAGCAGGTATGACGGAGGCTGCATTCATGAGACGCTATGGGCAGGCTGCAGGCAGCCAGTGGAGTGGGTGTTTCCTTTTTAAAATGTTCTTTTAGGGCCTGGAGTGGTGGCTCACACCTGTAATCCCAGCACTTTGGGAGGCTAAGGTGGGTGGATCACCTGAGGTCAGGAGTTTGAGACCAGCCTAGACGACATGGCAAAACCCCATCTCTACTAAAATTACAAAAACTAGCCAGGTGTGGTGGTGCACAACTGTAATCCTAGTTACTCAGGGGGCTGAGGCAGGAGAATCACTTGAACGTGGGAGGCAGAGACTGCAGTGAGCCAAGCTTGTGACATTGCACTCCAGCCTGGGCGACTGAGCGAGACTGTCTCAGAAAACAAAGTTCTTTTAGTGGCAGTTCCTAACCTGGGTGGTATTCTACAAGTCTGTCTTTCCAGGGAGGTGGTCTGTGCTGGAAAGAGGTGCAGGCATTTTGGCTTATCCCACAAAAGGAGACAGACACTACGAGCTTATGGAGCAACTGGATACAGGACAAGAGGCTGGCGCTCTCAATCAGGAATCATCTCTTGAACGGACTTTTTTTCTAAAGAAGATATACAAATGGCCAATCAGCATGTGGAAATACGCTCCACATCACCAGTCATCAGGGAAATGCAAATCAAAACCGCAATGAGATATAGCTCACACCCATTGGGATGGCTATTAATTTAATAAAACCAAATAGAAAATAACAAATGTTGGCGAGGAAGTGGAGAAACTGGAGCCCCTGTGCCCTGCTGGGAGAAATGTAAAATGGTACAGCTGCTATGGAAAACAGCAGAGATGGCGCCTCAGAAAAGGAAAAGTAGAACTACCCTATGATCTGGCAATACCACTTATAGGTATATACCCCGAACAACTGGGAAGAGGGTCTCGAGGAGATATTTAGGCATCCATGTTTGTAACAGCACTATTCGTGATAGTCAAAAGGTAGACATAACCCGTGTCTTTTGATGGATGAATGGATTAACAAAAGGTGATCTACACATACTGAGAGGGGAGACCCCTCCCCATCTCCCTCCTTGCAGGCTTCCTCCCTCCAGTTGAGAAGGAGGGTAAAGAGTGATAAAATACCAAAGAACTGGAATCGTGGTCAAGCGACTTGCTAACGCCACTGACCAGGCGCTCACAAGGCCCAAGGACTGGGAAGATAACTCCCAGTCTATACTATCTATAAACCTTGCAGCGTTGCAAAGAACGTTATTCCTACCAGCCAGAGCCCGGCACTGGGTCACGTCCCCCACTACATGACCCAGACCCTCCTCCTGGAAACACCTCTGCTAATGATGTACTGCCTTTGTCTTGTCTTTGAAAGCCCCTCCCCTGCCTATTCCCTCATGCACTGCATATGATTTAGCAAATCAATAAAGCCAAAGACTGTGAGGTCAGCTACCCAGCCAATGGGCAATAACAGTTTCACCTCTGCTCCCCCTTCAGAGTTGTAAGCCCTTAAAAAGGGACAGAAGCTCCTTCTCAGGGAGCTCAGTGAATAAGGATGCAGCCTTCTGCAGCTCCTGGCCAAATAAAAAGCCACTTCCTTCCTCAGTTCAGTGTTCAAGAGGTTTGTTTCCCACTGCTCCTGCTATAATATAATGAAATATTATTTAACCTTAAAAAGGAAGGCGGCCAAGCATGGTGGCTCACATCTGTAATCCCAGCACTTTGGGAAGCCAAGGCAGGCAGATCACCTGAGCCCAGGAGTTTGAGACCAGCCTTGGCAACATGGCGAAACCCTGTCTCTACAAAGAAATAAAATTAGACGGGTATGGTGGTTCACACCTGTAGTCCCAGCTACTTAGAAGGCTGAGGTGGGAGGATCACTTAAGCCTGGGTTGCAGAAAGCCAAGATTGCCCCACTGAACTCTAGCCTGGATGACAGAGAGACCCTGTCTTAAAAATTTAAAAAGAAAAAGAAAAAAGAAGGAAATTGTAACACATATAACATGGATAAATCTTTTTTTTTTTAAAGACATAGGCTAGAGTGCAATGGCACCATCTTGGCTCTCTGCAAACTCCATCTCCTGGTTTCAAGTGATTCTCCTGCCTCAGCCTCCCCAGTAGCTGGGATTACAGGCTCCCACCACCATGTCTGGCTAATTTTTGTATTTTTAATAGAAATGAGGTTTCACCAAGTTGGCCAGGCTGGTCTCAAACTCCTGATCTCTGGTGATTCGCTGGCCTTGGCCTCCCAAAGTGCTGGGATTACAGGTGTGAGCCACTGTGCCCGGCCAGTATGGATGAACCTCGAGTCCATTATGCTACGTAAAGTAAGCCAGATACAAAAGGACAAATACTACATGATTCCACTTATGTGGAGTACTAGAGTGGTTACATTCATAGAGACAAAAGTAGTGGTTGCCGGGGCTGAGGACAGCGGGGAAGGGGAGTCATTTATTGAGTACAGAGTTTCAGTTTTGCAGATGAAAAGAGTTCCTGGGTAGATGACGATGTGACAGATGTACAACATTGTGAATGTCCTGAATGCCACTGATCTGTACACTTAAAAATGGTCGAGACCACGAATTGAGGTCAGTGTATAATGCCGAGTGAACGGAGCCCCAATTCTCACAAGTCACCGCTAAAGAACTTACTCATGTAACTGAATACCATCTGTCCCCCCAAAACTTATGGAAATATAAAAAAATTGTAAAAATGTTTAAGAGAGTAAATTTATATGCATTTTACAATTTTTTTAAAAAAGAAAGAAACTGTCTCACTGAAAGTGACAAGAGCATCCCTTTGAAAGATGCCGCTAGACCATCAAAAAAGAGTCAAATACACACATATTTGGTTATAAGAAGCTCATTCATACTGAGAGACCTAAGTCGACTGGTATGCTTATCATACTTGTCTAACTTTTTCCCCTTTGTCTCAGTTGACAAAGAAAACTTTAAAATCAGGCCGGGCGCAGTGGCTCACGCCTGTAATCCCAGCACTTTGGGAGACCGAGGCGGGTGGATCACGAGGTAAAGAGATCGAGACCATCCTGGTCAACATGGTGAAACCCTGTCTCTACTAAAAATACAAAAAATTAGCTGGGCACGGTGGCACGTGCCTGTAGTCCCAACTACTCGGGAGGCTGAGGCAGGAGAATTGCCTGAAGCCAGGAGGCGGAGGTTGCGGTGAGCCGAGATCGCGCCATTGCACTCCAGCCTGGGTAACAAGAGCGAAACTCCATCTCAAAAAGAAAAAAAAAAAGAAAAGAAAACTTTAAAATCAGAAGATGTTTAAAATAAACTTAGGAAACATCTCCACAGAGCCAGAAACAGCCACAGATCAAAGGAATCTCATTATTAAATGGCGTCGTTAGCTTCATAACATTCCATTCATGTATAGTAAGTGATTCATAAATGAGTTCTAATCAGTGAAATGGCCTAAGGGGCAGCACTTTGGAATTGTCAGCTTCAAATGATCCTTTTGGATTTCAGTGGGAAACTGAGGGAGGAGGGAGTTCCTACCTTGTAGATGCAGGACTTCGCGTTCAGAAAGAAAAGCTCAATGGTAGCATTATCCTTCAGGTACGAAATGCTTTCTATATAGAACCTGAAAGAGAAAAACGATGCATGAACCACAGAAACAGCAGGTGCAGAAAACACGGTGCTCTCTTGAGCTCCATGACGTGCAGTGAAAGCTGAAACTCCCCGTCCTAAATAAACAAAGGAAAATGTATCATCAGTGGTTTTTCTGTGATCCCCTGTGGAAGACAAACAGTGTTTTTTGAGTTGTGATAGTGGCTTAGGTCTGTCATGCCCTGATGGGGCTCATCATAGCCAAATAATCAGGCCTGCCACCAACCTGTAACAGCAGGTTCTAAAACAGACCTTCTACTTTCTTTGTCCTTTTTGCTTTCTAATTTTATATAATTAATTTGTTATTTGTTTTTTATCACATTTCTTGTCTTTTCTAAACTGTCATTGAGTTGGATTTTCTTTACTTTTATTTTATTTTTTTTAAGAGAGACAGGGTCTTGCTCTGTTGCTCAGGCTGGAGGGCAGTGGTGTGATCATGGCTCACTGTAGCCTCAACCTCCTGGGCTCAAGCAATCTTCCTGCCTCAGCTTCCTGAGTAGCTGAGACTACAGGTGCATACCACCACATTCGGCTTTTTTTTGGGTTGTAGAGATGGAGTCTGGCTTTGTTGCTCAGGCTAGGCTCAAATCATCTGCCCACCTCAGCTTCCCAAAATGCTGAGGTTATAGATGTGAGCCACTGATGGGGACTAGGGAAGGGATAGCAGAAGGTAGGGGGACTGGGGACCGAAAGCATTAGGAGAAATACCTAATGTAGATGATGGGGTGATGGATACGGCAAACCACCATGGCACGTTTACCTATGTAACAAACCTGCACATTCTGCACATCTACCCCAGAACTTAAAGTATAATGAATAAATTTAAAAAGAAAAAGAGAGATAATTTCTTCGGCCTAATCACAGCTTTCTTTGAAATGGTTCCTACTACTCCCAAAGGTGGTGAATTGTGATTTGATTTCTGTACATTTGGTGAGCTGTGCTAAGCTGAGTGATATTAATGCATATTAAGCCAAATGAGAACTGGATTTCATCTGGAGCTTACAGACTTTTTTTTCAAGATGAAACATGCTGACATTATATAAGTTTACACTAAATGTGCCTTTATAATATTGACTTTGGAGTTTATTAAATTTTTTATTTTATTTATTTATTTATTTATTTTGAGACGGAGTTTCGCTCTTGTTACCCAGGCTGGAGTGCAATGGCGCTATCTCGGCTCACCGCAACCTCCGCCTTCTGGGTTCAGGCAATTCTCCTGCCTCAGCCTCCTGAGTAGCTGGGATTACAGGCACGCGCCACCATGCCCAGCTAATTTTTTTTTTTTTTTTGTATTTTTAGTAGAGACGGGGTTTCACCATGTTGACCAGGTTGGTCTCGATCTCTTGACCTCGTGATCCACCCGCCTCGGCCTCCCAAAGAGCTGGGATTACAGGTGTGAGCCACCGCGCCGACAATGCACTTGTACCGTCTAATGACGAGCTGCACTGAAGGATGAGGAATTGAGGCGAGGAGGGAGAAATGTTGAAATGCAGCATCCGGGAGGGAAGAAGGTTCTGAGCTGGTGTGACAACGCTTAGGGTGGGTTAGGAGGGTGCTGAGGACCTGGGGCTCCTGGAAACCGGGTTTACCAAGAAGAGGCAGAAGGTGAGGGAGGTGAAATGGGAAGAAACAAGTACTAGTTTTCTAGAAGTGCATTAAGAGCTGATGGCCAGAATCCTCTGGAGGGAGTCAGAGAGCAGCGGTGGAGTCCCCAGCTCTGTGTGACTTAGGGCAAGCCACATCACCTTGCTGGACTTCTGTTTTTCAGACTGTGAAAGAAGTGGATCTCTAAGAACCCCACTGGTTTTTAAATATTAGAAACGAACTCCAATTTAAACAACAGCAGCGGCAAAAACAAGAAGCCAACGTCCTACAAGGCAAACAAATGATGCCTTTAGCTCTCTAAGTTCTATTTGTAGTAATTCATTAAAATGACTTCTAATCAGTGTAATCACCTAAGGGGCAACAACTTGGAATTTCCAGGTTCAAATGATACTTTTAGATTCCAGCAGGAAATGGAAGAGGAGGAGAGTTTCTACATTGTAGATGCAGGACTTCATGTGTCTTTTCAGAAAGGAAAGCTAGAATGTACCATTACCCTTCAGGTATGGTCAAAGAGAAAAGGATTTATCCATAATTGGCTGGGTACAGGGAATCCCAACGCCTTGTGAGACTGAGGGGGTGGGACCACCTGAGATCAAGAGTTCGAAACCAGCCTGGCTAACAGCCAAGATTGAGCTGTTGCACTCCAGCCTGGGCAACAAGAGCAAAACTCTCTCTCAAAAATAAATAAACTTACATCCTTTGCAAAATGCCTCTGGCAAAGGGTCGTCAGAATAACAAAAGAAACTAAAGGAAGGAAAATAAGGAAAGGGAGTAAAGGGACAGAAAGGGGAGGGAAGGAAGAGAGAAAGCAACCCTAATCCCAGAATATTAACAGAGACCTCCTGAAGTTGACAGCTGCCTTCATACTCTAATGATGATTTTGAGTCTAAATTCATATAGGGTCTGAAATAACATACTTTTCAAAGTAATGCCATATGTTTCTTTAAAAAAATCTCATTTGCCTTAGTTCTAGAGAATTAAAGAGTAAAGACATCCTGTCTCCTCCACCCTAATTTCCACCTGAATAAAAAATTAACAGAATATAACACTTCCCTTTTCAACTCTAAAAGGAAATAAAACTGAAACAAGGTGGCTAATCCTGCATCTTTGTGACCGCGTTAATTCCACCAAGCTCTATGTTGTCTGGCCATAAAAGGGGCAGAGAAGGCACAGGAAACAACACGCATATTCTGAGATGAAGAAAGAAACCACCTCCTCTCGACAGAAGTGGAAAGCAGTTTCCGGTTAACTTTTATCACCAAGATGACAGGCTGGAAAACCCTGTGAGTTCCCGGCCTGTCATATCATTGTTCTGTTAGGGGAGGGTATTGAGCTCGGCCAAACTTTCTCTCCACGCCAGGGAACAGCCGGGCGGGGTGGCTCACGCCTGTAATCCCAGCACTTTGGGAGGCTGAGGAGGGTGGATCACGAGGTCAAGAGATCGAGACCATCCTGGTCAACATGGTGAAACCCTGTCTCTACTAAAAATACAAAAAATTAGCTGGGCACGGTGGTGAGTGCCTGTAGTCCCACTACTCAGGAGGCTGAGACAGGAGAATTGCCTGAACCCAGGAGCAGAGGTTGCACCATTGCACTCCAGCCTGGGTAACAAGAACGAAACTCCATCTCAAAAAAAAAAAAAAAAAAAAATGTCTGCAGAGAAAGAGCTCAGACATCTCCACCTGCATTCCCAGGGAGGCACGGTGCACGCTGGGGTACCAGGACAAGAGCCTTCTGGGGAGATGGGGAGGGCTCATGGTTTGGATTCAAAGTCAAACTTTTTTTCTTTTTTTTTTTTTGAGATGGGGTCTTGCTCTGTCACTCAGGCTGGAGGGCAATGTGCAATCACACCTCACTGCAGCCTAGACCTCCTGGGCTCAAGTGATCCTTTTGCCTCAGCCTCCCAAATAGCTGGGACTACAGGTATAAGCCACCTTGCTGACTAATTTTTTATTTTCTGTCAGGGGATGGGGTCTCTATGTTGCTTAGGCTGGTCTTGAACTCCTGAGCTCAAGTAATATTCCCACCTTGACCTCCTAAAGTACTGGGATTACAGGCCAGCCTCTTCTTCTTCTTCTTCTTTTAAAATCCTGTTTTTGACTGGGCGTAGTGGCTCATGCCTGTAATCCTAGCATTTTGGGAGGCTGAAGCAGGCAGATCACTTGAGGTCAGGAGTTCGAGGCCAGCCTAGTCAACATGGCGAAACCTTGTCTCTACTAAAAATACAAAAATTAGCTGGGCGTGGTGGTGGCTGTCTGTAATCCCAGCTACTTGGGAGGCTAAGGCAGGAGAATCACTTGAACTCAGGAGGCAGAGGCTGCAGTCAGCTGAGATTGCACCACTGCACTCTAGCCTGGGTGACAGAGCAAGACTCTGTCTAAAAAAAAAAAAAAAAAAAAAGGTGGGTTCTTTTTCTGATTTTTCAGGAGAGCCTCAGCAGTAGGTGGCGATGTTGCATTTCCTTAATTATCAGCGTAGGGCAGGGAGTGCTTCCAGGGTTCACAAAGAACATTCCAGGTCTCTGGGTAACCAGGGAAATGAAGGCTGTGTCTCAGATTCAGAGGGTCTGCACGGGCAGTTCCGAGTCTATGTATTAACCATGTCTTTATGATGCTTGGACATCTGTGGCCCTGCTGGGCCTGGAGGGACTGCCGGGGCTGGGGTTAGCCATTTTCCGGAAAGCAAACTTCCACATGTCACCCTGGATCCAGGGTCCCCTCTTCCTCCACCTCTCAGCTCTCACACCCAGGGCCACTATTCCCCTACCCCCACCACCCTGGGACACACCACCAGACAACCAGGGGCAGCCCCCATGCTGCAGAGCCCACTGAAATTATGTAAACTAGCCAATCCCAAGCCTGCTCTCCTGGCCTCGCCCATTCCTCCCCACAGAAACCACAAAAAAGGCTCTTGCCCAATTGTTCCCTGGCTCCCCTGCCTCCTGACTAACCCCGGTGCCTCCCATGTGGCCCCACGTGGCTTGGTGCTGCCCCTCCTCCCAGAAATGAGTGACAATCTTTTCAACGTCCGTCTTCTCCTCATCTGCTGACCTCACCCCAGCTGAATCATAATCAGAACCACACTTTAAACTGTTTTTTGGGGCACATTTAGCAGGACTGAATCTTAGGGCATCCATCTGAGTTGAAAGGAACACTGGATGGACCGCAGACCTCGCTGAGGACTCCTGAACTCCACAAGCAACCTTCCACCCAAGCGAGCCCAGATGACCCGGACCCGAGAATATTTTTATCAGAGAGCCTGAAGGAGAAATAAGTAGGTGCTCTGTGTTTGTGTTTGAGCTTATTAAATATTAAACAGCCTCTGAAGCCTCGGGGGGTCCTGTGCCCTTCTTTGACATGTGAAAGCCTC